ATGACAGATCATTGTTAATATAACAGAGGAGAAGAAATGCAGATTATAATATGACAGATCATTGTTAATATAACAGAGGAGAAGAAATGCAGATTATAATATGACAGATCATTGTTAATATAACAGAGGAGAAGAAATGCAGATTATAATATGACAGATCATTGTTAATATAACAGAGGAGAAGAAATGCAGATTATAATATGACAGATCATTGTTAATATAACAGAGGAGAAGAAATGCAGATTATAATATGACAGATCATTGTTAATATTAACAATGATCATTGTTAATATTAACAATGATCATTGTTAATATAACATACATTGAATGAACAGAAATGCAGATCTCTCCCTCTCCTCCATTTCTGTTAATATGACAGTCCAAATCTGTTAAATTGTTATAAATTGTTAATCTAATTTTGGACAGATTTTGGGTTAATCTGGTAACTTGCATTGTTAGAAATTGTTAGAAATTGTTAGATTTTGGGTTAATTTGTTAAATTGTTAGAAATTGTTATAATCTGTTAATCTGGTAGAACAATATGACAATGCCTTGAGAAGTAAGGTAGAGAAAGAGAAGAAAGCTGACTTCAAGTCTCGGCACAAAGTCTTTGATTGCCTAACTGTGTATGGCTTTGAGAAGCAATTTCAGGATGGCTACACCAATGCAAAATTCAAAGAAGTTCAAGTAGAGATGAAGAGATTAGTTTATTGTCAGTCGTTTCTGGTCAAAGAAGAGGGTTCAATTTGTACATATTTTGTAAAGGAAGCTATGGTAGTTTTTGGGAAGATGAAGCATGTGGACTTTGTTGTCTATTATAATTCGACCGAATTTGATGTGCAATGTATGTGCCGGTTGTTTGAATTTAGGGGCATCATGTGTGCTCACTCACTCGTTGTGCTCATTGCAAGATGCATAAATGAGGTTCCACATAAATACATTCTACCACGATGGCGAAAAGATTTGGATAGAGGGTACACATGCATAAAAACCACATACGCTGGCTTTGGGGATGATTTCAATGCAAAGGTGTATGAGAAGATGAATAGAAAATTGGTTGGCATTGTACAATTTGCTGGGAACTGTGAAGGGAAAATAAAACTTATCGACCGTGGGTTGGATGAAATCAAGGCAAAAGTGATGAAAGATGATGAAGGTGGTGGGAGTAATGTAGCACCTTCGACTAGTAATGTACTACCTATTACTAGTAATGTACCATCTTCCCCAATTGGCAACATTAATAGACAGGCAATCAGTCATACCAAGTTGCTTAGTCCTTTGGTTGCTCGGCGAAAAGGTCGTCCAGTTACTAAAAGAAAGGTTGCCAAAGTAGATCAAATAGTGAATCGGTTGAAGGCAAGCAAAAGAAAACATAACAAATCAAAGGTAAATTGGTATTCATTACTCTCTATTCAACTCATATTTTATTGTAATCATGTCATACATTTGAGGCATTCATTAACTTTTATGAATATAGGGTACTAAGGTGCTTGGAGGTGAAGGTGAAGGTCAATGTCAATCTTAACCAGAATATAGTGTACGTAGAGAGCTTTATCCTTATGTGGTTGGCATGGAAAATAATATGTGTGTGCCGGTACGTATACATCATAGGATTTTACATTGAGCAATTTATGTTATTCTCCAATTTATTTTAACATTTCATTTTAATTGAATAGGGACACATGGTTAATGCTATTGGAGGCACATCTCTCACCCCGACAAGTGTGGACATTATGAGAAGACAAAGTTTCATAAATCCCCCAACTCAGATTTATGGAGTTGGCACATCGCTTACCCCGTCGGACTGTATTGGAGGCACACCGGGATTTATGAGAACTCAACAATCCATGACTGCTACGCATCACATTTATGGAGCCGTACCATCTTCATTTGTTGACCTCAATGTACAAATGAACCACAATGACCATGGCGATAGTTTTCGTTAGTTGGAAATTTATAATTGTAATGCCTTTTATGTGACTAAAATTGGAGTTTATTTTGTTTTGGATAATTTATTTAATATATTGTTGGATTGTTCAGTTTCTTAATTTTTTGGTTGAGAACAAATTGATGTTGTTCCCTACTTTGTTGTTATAGTTAATGTTCCCAATTGATGTTATATTTGCGCTCTGTTTGTTACAAATCTATTACAGATTTAATGTGTTCCAAAAAAATTTTGTCCAAAATGTGTTCCAAATCTGTTACAAATCTGTGCGAAAAATCTGTTACAAATCTGTTCAAAAATTATGTCTGTATATCTGTCTACACCCAAATGTGTGGAAAAATCTGTCTTTAAAAGTGTGTGAGAAACCAGTGTTCAAAAAACCTGTCTTTAAAAACCTGTGCAAAAATCTGTCTTCACAACTATGTGAACAAAACCTGTATTCGAATTTGTCTTGGAAAACCTGTGTGAAAACAAAGTCTTCAAAACTTTGTGAAAAACCAGTGTTGGAAAAATCTGTCTTCAAAAACCTGTGTGGAAAAAGCTGTGTTCAAAAACCTGTGTGAAAACTAGATAAACAGAATCTGTGTTGGAAATGTGTCCAAATCTGTCAACCTGTGTTCAAATACACAAGAATGTATGTTCAAATCCACAAGAATGTATTTGAACAATCTGTGATGCACCTGTGTTCAAATACACAAATCTGTGAAGCACCAGACAAACAGAATCTATGTTTCAAATCGGTCCAAAATCTGTTGAAATATGTGAAGAAATTCTGTTCATAATATGTGTTAACAAGCTGTCCAAATCTGTGAAGCACCTGTGTTGAAATACAGAAATACATAAACAGAATCTGCCATGAAAATTTGTCCAAATCTGTCAAGAATATGAGAACAAATTTTATTCATAATCTGTCAACATAATCTATGTTCGAAATCAGTCCAAATCTGTCAATAATCTATGTTCAAGCAGACAAACATAATCTATGTTCGAAATCAGTCCAAATCAGTCCAAAATCAACCCAAAATCTCTCCAAAATCAACCCAAAATCAGCTCAAAATCTGTCCAAAAGCTGTCCAAATCTGTTCATAATATGTGTTCAAACAGACAAACAAATAACTTTCAAGCTTCCAATCAGATAACAAACAATTCACATGATTACATATTCATAGTTGTGAATCCATAATTGTAATATATCATAAATCTTCATACATATCATCTTCATAATTAATACAACACCAATTACATGTTCTAACTTGTATAAAAATTATTACATCTTCATAATTAATATCACACCAATTACAAGCAAGATGAAGATCCCATTAATACAACACGAATTTCTATTTATGTCTCTTTGCAATTTTAGCATCTGCGCATTCTGAAATTGATGTTGTTCGCTTTGAAATCGAAGATGTTCGCCCATACTTTGAAGTTGTTCGGTGACAGTCGGTGTATTCTCCATTTGCACTTGCCCTTCCTCCGTACGTTGTGAATTTGTAGGCAAGCACCATGCAATAAACCCACTGCAATCAGGACAACAATAAAATAGCTTATTCTTGTTTCGTTCCGTCTCCGAAATTCAAATGATTTCTTTTTTCCGACATTGAGGACAATTTCTGTTGCAATACGTCAATTGATCTGAGGTACTGTCGTTAACACTTGAAGTTGACATCTGCAAAAATATGAAGCGAATTATGAAGTTGACATTATTACCTATAAATGTAACATCGATTGCCATATATACTTAATTCTATAATCTAACTCATATATTGCTCATTCTTATTAGTTATGTACAGAAATGCAATACTTAGATGAAAGGGCCAAAGGGTTAGTGTTATTCCCACAACAAAATGAGGTTTGGATGGTTGAGCAATATTGGTGTCAAGTTTTACCTACCTAAATGGTAATTAAATTAATTATTAAAAAAAAATCAGTTAACCCAAAAAGTCAAATTCCTATGTGCTGGCATTTGGTACTAGGTTAGGATTATAGTTGGATAATGATTCACATGGATGGATCATGCCTATGGCTTGACTAATTTTTAGGGTAGTTGTGGTTATGGGTTCCAATTATGATTCATTCTTTTATATATGTTCATCTTTTTCTTTTTTAATAAAAATTAATTCATAGTGTAGCCTAGTTTAAGGAAAGAGAATGTAGGATGGATTACAAAGGCTAGAGAATCATATTCCATATCAATGCAGGTACTTATTGTGGCTGTGCTCTAAAATTATTCATCAAATTCTGAAGGTAGTGTGCTAAATTTACTAATTACTTAGTAAAGTAAAGATTTCAATCAACTTGGTAAATGTATCGGATTTCGTTGGTTTGCATCCAGCAACGGGAATGTCTTGATTGTTGATGAGTCTTTAGGCATTTACTTCTGATAAATATTGTGAACAATGATTCTTCAGGAAATTTTCTGTGCAAATTGACAGAATAGTGACCCTAAGTTCTATCAAATTCATCAACTTTAATTGAAAAAAAAAATATAAATCACAACACATTTCAATTGAAGTCACTTTGTTTGGAGGAAATAGAACAGTGTAAAGTATGTTTGTAATGGGTTACCTCAGTTTTGGATTGATGATCAGATAAAGATCACACTTTTTTTGTGTGATGTATGTTATTTAATCACACCTTTTAAATTTTATTAAAGTGTGATCTTTGGGAGTGTGATTAAAAGTAGTCATTTTTAATCACACTTTTTAAGTGTGATTAATAACATTTCGATCACACCTTTTAAGTGTGATTAAAAATATTTACATCACATCTTTTAAGTGTGATTAATAACATTCACTACTAAAAAAAATACTTTTTGCGACCGTCACATGCCGTCGCAAATAATAAAAATACAGTCGCAAAAGACTTTTAGCGATGGCCTATGTGACTGCACATGGGGTTGCAAAAGACTTTTTGCGATAGCTATTTTGCCGTCGCAAAAAAAAATAAAAAAATAAAAAAACCACTTTTAGCGACCATTGTTTTACTGTCGCAAATAATTATTTATTAAAAAAAATCATATATAGGTTTGCTACAACAAAAAAATCAATTACAAGCACCAAACCATTTTTTGTAAATGAAAAATAACAAAATTAACAAATTAATTAAATTTATAATAGACATTATCCTTTAATCATCTTTAAATACACTGTACTAAAAAATTCAAGTCTTCAAAAAAAAAAGAAAGAAAAAAAGAAGAAGAGCAACATAATCTTTGACTCCCAACATCAACCGCTCGATCATATCAACTATTCCCTCAACAAAATCTGCAAAAACATATATCAAACTTGACTTGAAAATTTAATGCACTTAAATGTGTTAGTTTAGCTTAAAATAATCAAAATAAAACTATGTCAATGACCTATCTCTATGGCAGATCAATGATTTGCAACAAGAGTTTCAATTACCTTAAGAGCAACTTCAAGCTTAACTATGGGGTCACTTAATTATGGCGTTCGGAATTATATAATAGTATTGCGGCGAGAGATTTCCCTAAGAACTCCACCATCACCACCACCTACAACCAAAACCTACATCAAGTAATTCAATTAAATTTAGCACAAATACCTGACAAACAGAATAATTATAGATTACATAAACATGAAGAGCAGAAGATAGCTAGCTCTACCAACAATGTTTTCCTCAATCATTGGCAACTTAAATTACAAGTTCTCTTTCTACTTGTAAATATGATGAATTGAGGCTGAGAGTACATAGAAATATTATTTGTTCACAATTTAACAATGAGACAAAAACAAGGTGAGTCTTATATTCAATTCTAGAATTAAATTTGTCATACAATGCCTTCAATCTAATAGAAAGAATAAATTTTGCACATAGAACTCAAATACTATTTTGTCTGAAATTCCTTGGGAAGAGTGTGCAACATAGTGATAATAAAAGAATGGTGCCACACAGCCTTGTCTCTAACGAAAGTCAAACACTTAACCTCTCATACGTGAAAAGTAAGAAGATGTTGTTGGGTCAGAAGACTGTTTGGCACATATAAAATAATTACTTAGAATCAAGAAATTTTGGAAAGAGGGTGATGAGTTTTTTCACCCAATTTAGAGTAACACCCTATTTCTAGAAATTAATGCAAGAAATTAGTGAGGTAGAGATGACAAGTGATGTTGATGAGAAAGTGAAATGATGGTGAAATTGAAAAAAACATGAACGATTCAAAATGAAAGTTGTAGTAGAAGAAATTGGGGACATGGATCTGGGTTTATTAGAATTTTTTTTTTCCGAAAGGTCTCTAAAATCATAATCAATGCTTTAGGTTTACCTAGATCCAAAAACTCAAGCCCAAGATAGGGAATGAGAGGCTTTGGTATAACTATAGTTGGATGTCCAGCATAGGCCATCAACAGAGGAAGAGCAGCAATTGATGGCAATAATAATTTCCTGTTCTTCAAAGTCAGAAAGACCTAGTTTAGCATTAACTCTGAATGCAGTAATGCAAAGAGAAAACAGTGCTCTTGAAATAAATGGGCCGATAAATCCAAAAAATATGATTGGAATACTCACACTCTCCAAGGGACATCGAGGACATCATCTACAAATCCAAGCAAAATCATGAAGCAGATGGATGCCAAAGCCGCATTGTACTCAACAAGCCATTGCACATATTAATAATCAACAGTTCAGTCTATCACTAGTTAGAGCAAATAATGTTCCTCACCTAACAATGCAGAAGAAAGAGGGTTGTAATACCCAAAAAAATACAAAGAGAAGACACAATTAAGGAGGAAAAATAGAAGTACAACACTTGTTACAACTTACAACATATGACACAGAAGTGCATAACAAACTCACACATCCTTACAATAAAGTACAATTGACAAGGCCAAAAAGAAAAGATGGTCACCATATACAATAAGGTAAATTACAAAATCATTAAAACTGGTAGCTAATAATTTTTTTTTCCCGGAAGTATATTAAGAAAGCATCAAGAGGGGATGCCACCCAATTCCCAATTCATGGAAAGGAATCTGCCAAAATGGGGTTGCTTTCCAACCATCTCATTGTAATAGGTAATTTACTAAAGCAACTTCTATTTATATAATTTTCCTTATATATAATATGGATAATTTGAATGTTCAATCCACCAAAGTCCAAATTAAAAGAGGACGATCTCATCATAGTGGAATGCACATGATTCCGAATTTTTTTTTTAACTAATGCTATGCACTCATACTTTTATTTTTAAAAAGTTTGTAAAATTTTAATATATAGCATAGATTTAAATTTGTATAGTGTAACTCACACATAATAAATTCAATTCACATATGATGTTTTTCTGGGAAAATTGTCTGAGGTGTTTGGATTAAAGATTTGAGGAATGACATGCAAAAGGAAAGAAAATAGGAAGGATATCAATTCTCAAATCCTTAATCCAAACATAGTCCTAAAAGTGTTCTAAGTTGTGCCATAATGTGAAGAATGAACCTCTTAGCGGCATGTTTCAAGCCATGACAGAGAGTTGTGGGATAGGCTTCAGAGCCAAGCATCACTTTTATTTCTCACGAGCAGAAACTGTACATAATGGGGCTGCGATGGGCCAAACGACTAGTCTGATCATTCATTACACAATCATTTCGCAGGAGACCATTTCCCTAGATGCATAACCCAATAGCACAAGAAAATGTTAAACACCAAAACATTTGAAAATATTCTTTTTTTT